TGCATCTGGGGTCTGTTACCTTTACCTGACCTGACCCACCCTTGTATTTGGGCTGTTACCTCTACCTGACCTGACCCACCCTTGTATTTGGGCTCTCTTATCTGGGACTGGTCGGCCATATTTTACTGGTTTCTTGGACTTGCTTTTAAGTAGGTTCCCCTGGGTGGGGGGCAGGGACAGTTTAAGTTTTACTGTATAAACAACAAAATCACTGTTTAACCGAATGGAATAACTCTGGCTAAATAGGCCCTTACACAAGGTTCACATGCAAAATTTACATTGTTCCTTGAACTCAAATGCTCACATTGTCACAGCTACTTAAACATCTTTGTTGTGTAACTATTGCAAACCCTAACGAGAAACAAATGGCACCTTCTATTTTGAAAAATGGGAAGAAAATGTAGAAAAAAAAATGTCATATATTTTTAACTAGGAATGAATGCAGCTAAGACTGTGTTAAATGTCCCAAGGTATTTTGCATTGTCAAAGATCAATGAAGTCAAGCAAACAACTGTTTTTGTTTTGGTTTTGGTTTTGGTTTGTTGGTTCTTTAGAAGTGTTTAGTATTCCATTTAAAAATAAACTGCGGGAGCGGGGGGCGCCTGTGCGTCTCAGTCGTTAAGCGTTTGCCTCCAGCTGAGGTCATGGTCCCAGAGTCACGAAATCGAGCCCCATGTCGGGCTCCCTGCTTGGTGGGGAGACTGCCTCTCCCTCTCCTGGTTACCCTACTTGTGTCTCTCTCGCGCTGCCTCTCTCTGTCAAATAAATAAATAAAATCTTTAAAAAATAAAAAAAAATTCTAAAAATAAATTGAGAAAAATGTGACTTTAAGTTTAACTTGAATAAATACAGCTGTTGAGATGATTTTAGTAACCATTTTAATTGGCATTTTATCATAATTGGCTGATTATTATAAAACTGCATTTATATCGCCTCCTCTATCTAACCACCCACACCATTCCAGATACTAATAGGGAAACTTGGCTTCTTATTGACTTTTTTCTTTTCTGTTAAACCTGAAGATACCATGCAAAGGAGAAGGAAAGGAAACAGAAAAACAAAGGGCTAGGAAAGAAAGAAACTGGCAACATTGGTGGAAATCTTCATTGTTAATTTATATGTAGTAAGTTTTTTGAATTCTTACAGCAAGATTTTCCAAAGCTAAAGAAGAGGTCATCTTATGTTCATTTCAGCAAGTTGATTTTCAATATTTCTATGTTAATTTTGTATCAAAGATGTTTTATTCTGATATATTTGAGAGAGATTTTTAGTTTCATTTCCCATGCTGCCATGTTAGAAATCAAGGGTTTGGAAAATGCATAGTTACCAACGAAACTGACATAAGGGAAGTATTTAGTTCCAAATAGTCATACAACTACATTTATTTGATGCCAGTCATATATATAGTTGAGTATGTCAAGTTACAGGTCAAAATAGCTGGGTGTCTCAACACTAAGTTTAATTCATTTGTCTATTCATGCACTGGGTGCCTTCACTTCAGGGAAACATGAATAGGCCCTGGTCAAGGAGCTCTCAGTCTAGTAAGGGACATAGAACAGGAGATAGCTAACTCTAATTCAATGTAGAGAGAGAGACAGTGGCTTGAAACCCGCCAAAAACATAAGTAGTGTGGCTAGACTGGAGCCATCAAACAAAGCTTCATGCAACAAGCAGCAATAGACAAACATGACAGTTCAGCAAAAGACAGGAAAGTGCAAAGCATTAAGCAGTGAGCAGTTTAGTTTGCTGGAAATGATAAGCTGAGCAGAAAGCTGTGATTAGGATAAAAAGAGAAAAAGTTTATGAGGGTCTGATTGTAGATGGTCGCCAGTGCTATATTAGAAGTGTGTGCTTATGTATCAGGAAATGCGTCACCCTTGAAATTTTTTGAGCAGCACTGAAACACGATCAGAGAGAGGCTTACGGAAGATCCTCAACACCCTAGCTAGTAATTTTGGTAAACGACTTCACTGTGTTCTGACTCAAGTTTCGGCTCTATCTCAGAAACAATATTTGTCATCTTTCTTCCCATATGCAAGGGGTTCAAAAGAAAATCTGCTCATATCCTCTTCCAAGCTAATCACAAAAACTAAGAAAACACTTTTATTAAAAAAAAAATGTATAAGGTAAATTTAGAAAGAGAAAGAGGAAACAGTTAATATATTTTGATTTCTGTACTTGGCAGTTTTCTTTCCAGCAAGTGTACCTCCATTTAAAATGTAAAGGGAATGGTTAGTTGAAGGTATCATTTTTCAAATCTTTGATATTTTCTCATGAGAGACATAAAAAGCTTAAAAGTGTCATTGGCTTATATTAACACATTTTGTAAAGAAAAGGAAAAGAAAACAAAAACAGACAAAAAGCAGCAGTCAAGCAGTTCCATTAATTGCACTTTGTAACATAAACTCTTTTTCTTCATTGGGAATAGCTTGCCAGGGCCTAATGATTTATTTAAATGGAGGGATTTTTATAGGCCTAGCATATTAGGATCCTTTATTAACTTCTATGTTCCAGGGATAAACAAGAGACAGCACATCAAGTTTCCCAGGTAACACAAAATCTCCCCTTTTAATCACATGTTTAAAACCTTAGCGTTTCATAAGCATTCTTTATGCACAACACATAAATTGGTTTCTCACCATATCAATTGCTTACCTTGTTAAAACATTTTAGGGAGAACATGTATAAAGGAGAACGTATCACAGTAATTTACCAGTACTAAAGATCTCATTACCCTTTTACCAATTCTCCAGAGTATGACCTACTCTCATTGCAAAGATTATCTATCTCCCCAGCCATCTGGGCAAGAGCACTCACTCCTTCCTTCCTGGCATCTGCCCTCATTCATAAGGTCCTCACCGCTCACACTGCAATTGTGTCTGAAGGTGTGATTTTCACTGACAGAACTATGATACTGTCTTAGTTGGCCCATACTGTCTACATCAATGAAAATGCAAATGAAACCCCTCATTTTTCAAAAAAATCCCCCCAAAAAAACAAAAAAGAAAAGAAGAAGATCCTTGGGTGTATTTCCTAAACAGTCTCAGAAAAAGACAACAGCAAAGCAATAGCAATCATATCTTTTAAAAAAGAGCTTAGAATACAGATCCTAAACAATATTTAGAAGGTTTAGAAGAGTGAAAAGGTAAAAAGAAATTACCATTGATTCCTGAACACAAAAGTAATTAATGTTTCCAGCACTTTGGTACTTTTCCTTTCAGGCTTGCACCATATACATATATATATATGTACGTATATATGTATATGTATATGTATATGTATATGTATATGTATATGTATATATATGCATATATATATATATATATATATATATATAAATGTTTTACTTATTTATTTGAGAGGGAGAGAGGGAGAAAGGGAGAGAGCATGAGCCCTGGGGAGGAGCAGAGGGAGAGGGAGAAGCAGACTCCCGGCTAAGCAGGGAGCCCAACATGGGGCTCAATCCTGGGACCCCAAGATTATGACCTGAGCCAAAGTCAGAAACTTAACCGACTGAGCCACCCCGGCACCCCTCTTGCAGGGTTTTTTTAAATGCCAAGTTATTTTTTCTTCAAGTAAACCTTTTTTATTGAAATTTAATATGCATGCAAACAAGTGCATAAAACTCAAGTGTACACTCTGTACTTTTTTCTCCACGATGTAAATAACCCCTTGTAAATGGCACCCAGGTCAAGATACAGATTATTACCAACATTACAAAAACTCAAGGGTGATCTGATGATTTCTTAATCATTAGCCTCACAAACTGAGCACTATCTTGATTTCTATCACCACAGATTATTTTTTTCTTATTTTTGAACTTTATATAAATGAACTTTATATAAAGCCATCTTTGGTATCAAACTTCTTTCATTCAGTAGAAATTTTGTGAAACTTATCCACATTGTGTGCATGCTAGTTTATTTCTTAATGTCTGTGTAGTTTTCTATTGTATAAATGTACTATAATGTGATTTTCCTTTCTATTCTTCAGGGAAATTAATTTAAATGGAGAGTTTTGATTTCAATTATTTTAAGGAACTTTCCATTTCAAGTTTTGCTCCTGTTTCTAGGTGGGTTTTTCAGACTTCCTAATGGAAAGCCTGTCACATTTAGCAAGGTCTCTATTCTGTTTCTCTTCTGACTTTGAGTAGCTAAAGAATCAGGATTTTTAATTAAGAAATGACATAGCATTTCCATTTTTATGCAGACACATTTGTTGATATTATTCTTGATAATTATAATTATTATTATGGACTGACCATAGCATAAAAATGTCTGCCATTTTAACCAGCTCTTTCTAGAGCAATCGTCCAGCTTTGATAGTGTTAAAATACCACAAATAGCGGGAGAACAAAAAGAGCAGTTCTGTTTTACAAAGAAAAGAAAAAAGAGGCAGCAGACGGCTGCAAACTGTTACTTTTGAGAGAGGGTATGCTAATTTATTTTGATCAGAAGTGATTTGATGCTTCAGTTCTGTTGCGTGGATGTATAAGAGAAACTGCTCCCATTTTTAAAGATATTTTTCTTGGTCCACTTCAGCATAATGAACAATTGCTTCTTGGCATTTTAATATGTAGAAAGAATCTAGATTTTAAGGCTATTTGAGGTAAATTTCAACTACATAATAGTGACTTCTAGTGGAGTTTTAATAGTTAGAAGAAGAACTACAAGGTCCCAATCCAATCTTTTCCCTGTTATGCTAATTTAAAGATAGTGTCCAGCTCTATTTCACTGTATACATTTTAACAGCCCCCCCCCGCACCCTGCACCTCCACTTCTACAAATACTTACATAGCAACCTTTATTGTGCAAAAGGAAGACAAGTATAAGATGGTGAATTTGATAGGAAGCAGTGAAGTAACTTTGGCTCCACTTTTTTTGTTAACATGTTAAAGCATCCAATATTAAATATTGATAGTGAAATTGCCTGTAAGAGAATTTATGAGAATTACCTAAAAATAAAGAGGTGAGTATAATGAAATAAAATCTTTAACTCACCAGTTTTGCTCAAAGCAGTCAGTTCTCCTCAAATACATGTTTCCTCACCCTCCTCATCTTCTTCGTCTTCATGGGTGGGAGGCAGAGAGGTGGAGACATCATGAAGCCATTGAGGTGGGTTCTTGAATAGAAGGACTGGAAACCTTAAAACTTCTAATTCTTCTTCTTCTTCCAGCTCACCATCATCTAAGGCTAAGGGCACACAGAAAATGCCTGAATTCACCAACCTGGTTAAAAGAAGGAAAAACGGAGCAGGGGTTGATGAGAGAAATGAGAGAGTTTGAACCAGACAGCCAGGGCAGGGGGTGACTGGAAGGTACAACTCTTTGTATATGCAGGTGAGAAGCAGCAAGCACGATGATTTGTTGAAATCGCAGCAGATTGAACAAAGGGAAAAAGAAGAGCTTAGTCTGTGCAGACAGAAAGGGGAGGTCAGGTTGAGTTAAGGGTATGTGGTCTCCATTGTTCTCCAAGAACAAGATGAGGGTTGAAGTAGTTTAGAAGAAATAACAACAAAATTCTTCACAGCGACTTACACATGCAAGTTTTTCCATCACTTCCAATTCTGCAGCTTTCTCCATAGGGATAGTCCTATGCCCCCACTGAGTTCATACACAGCTGGTCACAGACTATGCTGACATGCAGACACTCAACCACATCTAGGAAAATTTAAATAATGCCAGTTTTTAGGTGTTGAGAGATAAAATAGACATTATAAACTCATGGGCGTACTTGTATTCCCCTTGTCACCTTTATTAGTCAATAACATGGTTTTGCCATATAGAAATTGTCCCCAAATTCTTCCTCAATTATACCCTGCCAATTATTTTTCTTCCACTCATTTCCAAGTTTAATATAGTTCATCTACATAGACAAGTTCTTCCTGAAACCTTGATTGCAAGATTTTGATGAAGAATTTACAACTTAAGAGAAAGTCAATGGTCTGAGTGTATCACTTTATAGAATGTTCATCACTCTTGAATTATTCAGTATCTATGGTGAAGCATTTATTTCGTGTGTAATTCTGTACAAGGCTTGTAGAGAATTTTAAGATGGAAGAACCCCAGTCCTTATCTCATTTGACTTACTGATGATTTGTGTCCATATCTGAACCCAGACTTTGGTCAATGTGTTAATGATACTAAAATATCATTTACCAAGCTGAGTTTCTAAGTTTTGCTTCAGATTTTGGATACCTTTTCCATTTGGATATGTGTACCCAAGTATGTACATTCACGCCATACAATCATCTCTTGGCTCACTGTACTTAAAAGCAGATGGTACGTGAAATTCAATTTTTTTTTTGGCCCCGTTAATTGGATGGAATGTGGTAAATGGTAATATACTCTACTGTGTTTAGAATATATAGTTTTGTATTCTTTGCTGTTATCTACATTGCAAGGCTGGGGAGCTTGGCTATCTATATGAAGAAACATATCTATCATTCTCAACAGAATGCAGTAATTTGTTTCTTTAAGCAAAGAAATACTATTCTCTCTGAGGCATTAAAACCTTCATACATAATTTTATTGTTATTGAAATGAATATCAATTATCTAACCTTTACTTTTATTTAAAAAAACTTGGTTCAAAATAATGGTAATAATGATCATAAATGAAATTAAAAGGTTGTGTATTTAAGATAAACTTTAAGAAATAAATTAGAGCAATGACTTACATGAACCATTCTTAATAGTATAAAAAAGGAGACTTGATACTACTCACTGAATTTCCCATGATATTTATATATCATATATATCATATATTATCATATATCATACATATATCATATATCACACATACATACATATATCATACATATCATCATATATCATACACATACATCTAAATCACACATATATATGATTAAGAAATCGTCTGAAAAGTAAGTGAACCAATTTTAACAAATAAGTTAGAAGATTATAAAATGATTCATCTTAAAATTTACATTAGCTAGATTAATATCAGTTATGTAAAGGATTCCAGTATGGATTTGGACTGTAGCTCATGAATTGGCAATCCTTTTACTATGACTCCTTAATTAAAATGACTTTCAGAGAACCAACTTTAATTCCAGTGAAGTTTGCCCTGAGTGATTCCTATGGCAGTGTGCTATGGCTTGCCCAAATCTCTCACTTGTCTATATATATTAAATTAGGTAAAAGGGATTATAGGCCAATGAATATTATGATAATAATAACTACTTTCAGTGGAGTGATTTCTTGATGTCAATCACCATACTAGGCACTTTACATTTATTACTTTACTTGATTTACCCACTAATCTTATTATTGTCTTCACTTTACTGATAGGGACCTGAGGCTCAGACCAGTTAGGGTCACCCAAGTTCACACAATAGTAAATGGCAGAACCACATAAAATCCAAGTGACTTTAGTGTCAGAATCTTCCCTTTCCTCCCCTAACCCTTGGCCTCAGATAGTCTTCTTGCATGGATTGGCCCATCACATAATGATTTCATGTTAGATCTCAGGAATTTACCATCACATCTGCCACCATCAGAACTGATAAAGAGCTCCTGACATCGACATTTATAGCGTCCTAAATAGTTGATGCGGAGTTGGGTACAGCAGGCTTCTCCACGCTCACATTCATCGGGGTCTGCAGAGAACAAGGACATTTCTGTTATTTAAGAGATAGGAGTTGAACAAACCAAGAGAAGTGCCAATAAGCCTCACTTTCAAGTTAACAACTGTTCTACTAATCATTTTCTGTTTCTCAGGCTATGCAGTACAAACATCAAAGAAACTAACACAAAAAGATTGAGGCCCACATTTGGAGTTATGTTTCTTGCATGCTTCTCCTATGCTTGTTGTTTATTTTTTTTTAAAAATATGTAAATAATCTCCAAATGCACTTATAAGCACAGGAAAAGAGGTATCTGCTATTTTCCCAGTTTAAAAAGCAATCTGACTGAATCAACAGAGAACCTGAAGAACAACAACAAAAACAACTTTAGAAGAGCCAAAAAATTCCATTTAGTGAGCATTTCATAGCTGCAACGAGGAGGTAGTCTTAGCCTTCATAACGTGTTAGCTCTTCTAGAACTTCAGAAGAAAGAGCATTCCCAAGCAAAAGGAATCCATGAGATTGGCAAGAGAAGGGGGTAACTGCAATTCAGACAAAGGGCAGAAAATAACTGTAAATATCATATTTTAAATGACAGAATATTTCAGGGCATTTGCTTGAGCTCTTTGATAATGCTTTGACTAGATGGAGTCTGGGGATTCTTATCATCACCGGTGATACCATTACCCTGGCATGTCCTATCAGATAAACAATTTTCTAAGTGACGGTCTTTAAGTCTCCTTTGACACCACTATTCTAGAATTCTACAATCCTGAATGTTGTTTCCTAAGACATAATTGCCTGGAGGAAAATAAACATGTACCAGAAGATGTCAAATTGAAAGCTTACAGCTACAAAATAATTTTGTGGTGATCATTTCTAACATAATTGGCTAAGGAGTAGGGACAGACTCTTTGCCCCCTTTTTCCTTAGGTAGACACTTGGGGTTGTATGGTCAGGATTTTGAGCTATCCTTGGTTCAGTTTGACTCCCTCTGTTTGTTGAGCTGTTAAATTGAGTAGCCTGCAGCCCTGACTTTACTAAATTTCACTGTCTGTAACTACATGAACAGCCACAGATATAAAAGTTCAGTGTCTCAATTAACCTTGGAAAGGGTACCAGTGTAAGAAATGCAGATAAGAAAAAAGAGAGAGAGAAAAATGCAATCAATCAGCCAAGGTGAAGGGTCACCATAAAATATCTAAATGAGGGTCATTTGGACATAAAACACTCTTCCTCCTGCCAAATGTCATAAGTAGTGCTGCTCACAAAATTCTAGATGATATTTTTGCCTTTTTTAAAATAGTAAACCTTCCTTTGTCCTTTGATTAAGGAGCATGGATACAGGGAAACAAAACTTTTTAAAAATTCAGTTTCATTTCATCTAAAACATTGTCCTTTAGGGTTTTTGTTTTGTTTTGTTTTTTCAATTTCAAGATTTTTTTAAAGTCTTCTCAGGTACCACTAGAGCCTTTAAACATCCCGGTCTCAGGATTCCCTGTTCTCAACTAGCAAGGAGCAAAACCACATCATATAACTGGAAAATTAGTTCCTCAGTCTGACTATCATTTTATGATCCATTTCGAATTCTTCTTCTATTATCATTCCTGTGGGGTTATTTCTAGCTTGTCTAATCTACAACACCCTCAGTCTGGAACTCACCTGAAACCCCATCCTCTCTATCTCATAAGCCTTTCTTAAAATGCCTTTTCTCTTCAACTTTTGCATCACCTGTTTTCCAAATTTCTTGATTTTTTTTTTATTTTATTTGGTGAGATTTTGCTTGCTTATTTTTCCCTTTTGATTTTCCTCATGTCTATTCTTTCCTACATAGGTCAATATGCCAGATATTGCAATGTAACAGAGAAATTCGCCTGTACATAAAAATTGAGCCCTAATAAAAAACAGAACATCAATTGTAACTAAGCAAAACAATTTGATATTTTAGCTCTAATTTCAGAAAAGCATCAAAAGTAAACCATAAAAGAACTTGAGTTTCTGTATTTGTTCTTCATATAAAACCACTGAATAAAGCTCCAAAGGTTAGAAATTAAAAAAATATATTTTCTAGGGGTGCCTGGGTGGCTCAGTCAGTTAAGTGGCCAACTCTTGATTTCGACTGAAGTCATGTTCTCAGGGTTATGGGATCAGGCACTGCACTGGGGGCCTCAGGGGTGGGGGGGGAGTGGGGGAGTCTGCTTGAGATTCTCTCCTTCTCCCTCTGCCCCTCCCCCTGCTTATGTGCTCTTTCTAAAATAAATACATAAATAAATCTTAAACAAATATTTTCTAATAATTGCCAGTTGTTAAATGTAGTGAGCTTATTGCTGGTCAGATGCTCACATTTTAGAAAGTTGCCTTTCAAATTATATTAACACATCTCTAGGTTTTAGCCCCAATAAAATTTGCATTTGGGTAAGGCTGAACATTTGCAGATTGGATGATTGATTTTCACATTTATTTGTATATTCAAATATATTTTAAAAAGTTAATCTTGAAATAAGCTAAAAATTATTTAATTTCCTTTATGCATGAATGTTTTTACAAAGCATCCATGATTTTAATCTGTTTTTAGGCAAATAAACAAAGTATGCATATGTATACTCTGAAAAATCATTGCCTTTACTCTAGTGAATATTTGGACTTAAGGAATGTGTATTATTTATTGTTGGAAGTGAAATAAACTTGAGCCATAAACAACATAACATCATGTTGACTGCTGAAATATCATAAATATGCACTACTTCACATTTTGACCCTGGCAGATGTTCTTTTTTTCTTTTTTCTTTTTTAGCTATAAATAAAAGCTTTACTGAATTGTACTTTTCAAAGAATAAGGAAAGACCAGATTGTAAGTTGCAGAGGTTTAGCAAAATTCCAGTTTCTCTTATTCAATAGTCAAAAGAGGAATATAGGTAAGAAGGAAGAAAGGGAGAGAAGGAGGGAGGAAAGAAGAAAGCCCTTTATATTTTTCAGAGATAAAAACATTAGCAAGATAGAAAAATATAAATCTATTTTTCATTACATAAAAATTGGCAAGGGAAGCAACTGGTTTCCTTAAGTTAACCACCATAGACTGGGAAAAATGCAGAAAACAATGTTGGATCAAGAAATCCATATAACGACATTGTTTTGATTAAATAATTTATGAAGCCAGAATACTTCAAAATCACTTTAAGCTCACTCTGTCACATTATAGTGCAAAAAAGAAAAAAAAAAAAAGATTCCAAATACTTAGACCTCAGAAATTCACCTCTTCTTTTATGATACTTCAATTTGTCTCTAATCATATTGAGTAGTATGAAATGGTCAAAGACATTTTTCAATAATCATATTATGATTTTTAAGAATGGTGACTTAAAGTATCAAAAAAGAAAACAAGCTAATATGGTATCAGAATTCCTGAATAATGGCAAATCGCTTTAAGGGCTTATAGGTCCTTTCTGAACCAAAATACATGCTAATACAATCTATCCCTATTTTTAGCAGATATTCTTTTTTCTTAGAAGCTCTAGATTAAACATTTCATATGGAACAATGTTAGGGTGGAGTTTATTCTTAGTTTCCCATATGATAAAAGTTCTAATAATATGTTGGAAAAGTTATACACTAAGAATGGGTTTGAATTGGGATTTCCAAAGAATAATATCTTTTAAAGTTTTCTTTTGGAATGTAGCAACTTGCCATATCAAAGTTGAACATGCACCCAAATCATCACCAAGTTAAAAATCAATGCACATTGTTTAGTTTCTGCTTGAGGTAGAGTAGGGTATGTGTGTTGTTTGAATTAGAAATTACATTACATGGTTTGGTAGGCCTTGCAATATTTTCATGACATAAACTATTAAATCCATATATTTTGTTAGCGTGTTTCAAATCTCCTTTAACTTCAAAGTAACTGTCTAAAGGTAATGATGTCTTCTGTCAAGTAATCTTTCTTTTGCATTTGTCCAGTAGCCATAGATACCATTCCATTTACTTCTTGCAGTTTTCATATTACAGTTGTAAGTATGTATTAGAGAAAAAAGGGCTAAATGAATCCTGGGCAAATTCTGAAGATGACATTTATCATACTTTATCTATGCCTGCTTTCCCATCTGAATCAAGCTGGTGTCTATGGTTGCAGGAACAATCCACCCCACCCCCCTGCCCAAGTACACGTTCACAATGATGGGAACAACCATGATTGTTCTTCTCACAGCTATTGACAATTTCCAATACAAACCCTTTCCAAAACAAACAAAAGAGAGTTATTAGCATAACAACAGAGAAACCTGAATATCTGTCAATAATGGGTACATTCTCTGTTAAGAGGATGACAAACTTCATTGGAAATTTATCAACACTCTACACATATAAAAATAAAAGTTTAAGAGCTATTAGTCATTGTAAATGACTATACCATATCAAAATACTAATAAACCTGTAAATAATGTTAAATTGATGAAGTGATACAGAAAAGTAATGAGTCCACCAGTGGTTATTACACTCTTGTTAAAAGACCGTTACCTCTGGGAATTCATAGTGTTTCTAGGATATTAAAAAATATGCATATTGAATCAATGATCAGAACGCAAATAGGTTGTATGCCAATTGACACATCTGTTCTCCAGCTAATGGTATGTTATTATCTGTCCTTTTTAGAGGCTATAAGTACATGAAAATACTGTTAAAAATAGCTTTAGAACAAAAGCGGGAACACAAAAGCAATGAATGAGCTGATCATATGTAACTAGTATCATGCTGATGTGCTAATCAGCTTTGATGCACATGAGCATCACTTACTATATAAACATACGATTACTTTGAAAAACAATTTGCTGATCCCAGTACATGCTACTAATTGGAACCATTTGGGGGGACTTAGGTCTCATCATATGGATACCAATTTTCCCGAGCATACAGGCACTATAATCCATCATATTCTTATGAGGAAATGAGAAATAAAGAATGCTTCGAATCAATGTTAAAATATGGAATTTGGGGGTTGCCTGGGTGGCCCAGTTGTCTGAACATCCAACTCTTGATTTCAGCTCAGGTAATGATCTCAGAGTTGTGAGATCCAGTGCCGGCATCGGGCTCTGCACTCTCAGTACAGAGTCTGCTTGTCCCTTTCCCTCTGCTCTTCCCCCTACTCTCTGTCTTCTCAAATAAATAAATAAAATCTTTAACAAATATGGAATTTGGGTACTCTGCTATTTTCACCATTGACCACTATTGTTCTTCATTTGTGTTGCTTGGACAAACCTCTTCTTAATGAGAGTGTCCACATTGGTTCTTTCCTTACATTCTTAACACCTGAAGAGAGACAGGAAAGAACAGGGTGAGGGCGCTTATGACTGTGGCACTCATTGAAGGTCTATACTACCATTCAAACTGCCTAGATATCTGCCATAGTTCCTGTACAGTAATAGCACAGACCCTCCCTGATCCCCAGCCTCTACTCTACAGTAGGCAGCTATCTTATGTGCTCCCAGAGCATACAGGGCCCATCCCTGTCATTGTGCTCCTCCTGTGCTGTCATCATCTTGCATTACTGAACTCATAACAGATGTTCTAAAATGGGTTTTAAGTGATTGAATAAACAAAAGAAGGATTTTGCTAATCAACTTATTATTGAAAATAAGAACCCCTTGGGTTTAGAAACAGCTACTTTAGCACAGAGGAAAATTAGAAAGCTAAAGGAAAGATTGAAATAATGAAGAGAACTGATATTTTTACAATATGTTAACATATACTCTTTAGGGAGACATTTTAAATTTTGGGTCATGTTCTTGTTATTTCCTGTGGACAATGTAGTTCTAAGACTGCTGGTGGTAATTTAATTTAAATATAAATTACACTGTTGTAACCTTATTAAAAAATGCATGGGACTAAAAAGTGCATACTTACATCTATAATTGCCCACTAGAAGTAAGCTGAGATTTTGTGTTCTTGATACAGGTGTAAATAATTCTTCAACCATCTTACTTTAAATATATATATACTTTAAAAAAACTTTAAAAAATGATCCTTTTAGTTTCTCGCGGTAGTAATCATTACTACTCAACATATTAAGTATACATTAAATATGTATAGAATTTAAGTTCAACTATATACTGGTTGGTAATTTGGGGGTAGGGCTTAACCATGCTGGATCCGTAATCTTCCCATGTCTAATCACAAAATAGTAACAGTTCATTTATAGCACTCCATGAAGATTTAATGTTTATGTTATACAGGGTTTGAGAGCCTCTGAGGAGAAATTATATAAGTCCAAAATATTGTTTTCCTAGGGAAAAGGTAGGACAATCTTTTCCTAGAATGTACTTGTATCTGAAGGACACATAATTCATTCTTAAACATCACCATGTTCTGAAAACACTTACTCCACCTACAGGTTTTGAAACAACTTAAACACCAGTTTTCACCAAGAAAGTTTTCTATGTCAGTTAGTAAATATTGAGGTCTGGTGAGAGCTACATAAAGAACTTAGCCAAATATTCACATAAGGGAAATAAATGTAAAAATATACTTCTACCAAATGTATTCAACTCTGGGGCAAATTGCTTTCCCAAGTAAATTCTGCAGAAAGCCTGTACCTCATAAGTCATTATCAATAATGGCCCCCTCTTTCATGATAACTGAAAATGCACAGTCAGATTGCAAGAGATTTTATTTTAGACACTTGTAAGGTATACTCATCTCCTAAACCCCTGGCTGCATTGAAAAGTCAAAATATTAATAAGAAAGAAAATCCCATCCACATTTCTGCTTGAAAGGACTCCTCAGGGCACTGGGAGAAAAGATTCACCTAGAAGTTGTATCCTAATTAGTAGTTAATTCTTCTCCCCTGTCTTATTTAGTTTGCTCTTTAAAAGACAAATATCAGCATAGCAAAACTGCCTTGTCTTTAAGCAACAGAAATAAACCATCAGGCCTCAAAGCTACATTAACAATCCAAGCATTAAAGAAACATAGAGTTTTATACAACAGAGGAGAATGAAGAATTTAGTGACCTTAAGAATGTCTCTTCATGAGAAAGCTTAGAGAAGAACACACAATTGTTTATTCTATCACTATCATTATTCTTCTTCCTTGATTAAATTGATAAGTAGATATACAACATAGACAAACACATGAGACAGTTGAAAGGACAGTGTGCTTGGAGCCTAAAGACCCCACCCAGTTCAAGTCCCAGTGCTGGCACTTAACTAATTTTGTGTCATTGAGTTTTTGTCTTTGGCATTGAATTTATAGTTCCCTAAGGTGCGAACTGGGAAGAGCATCTTTGGAACTGAAACTGGAAATCAGCAATTCTGTTTGGGGCCTGCCAAGTTTGTAATGTCTATCAGTCAAGCAAATAGAGACATTGAGTATATATTTTGATATATTCACATGTAGTTAAAGGAACAAGAGAAATTAAATATAAGTTGGACATTGAGAGAGGGGGCAGGGATAGAGAGGAAAACCGGGAAAATGTGAAAACATGAATGAGAAGGAAAGTGTTTCAAGAAAAACAGGGGTTAATCCACTGTGTTGAATGCTGCTGAGAGGTTACCTAAGATAAAAACCAGAGATGTTGATAAGCTGTCTGGCAACAGGGAAGTTACCTGTGATTATGGTTGGGTAGAGATGGAGATCTGATTAGTCAGGGACAATGAGAGAGTGCAAGATGAGGAGGGAACAATGAGTAAGTGATGAAAAATTTTGATGTGAAGGGGATCAGATTGAAACTGCAGTAGGGAGTGGTCTCATGGGAGGGTACCTTAAAGATAGGAGATACTGGACCAAGTTGACATGCTTGATCCATGAGAATGATCCATTAAATAACTGCAATCAATAGCAAAGATATTGAGACAACAAGAGAGAATGGAATCTGAAATATAGTAGAGAAGATGGCCTTTGGTAGTCCTAGGACCATGTCCTTTATATTAACAGTGGTGAAATCTTTTTCATGAGATTTTATGGGGGTATTTTCAGTTAATTGTTAACTTGACTGGTAGTTTGCGTCCTCTTCCTTGATGATGTAGGAAACAAGGTGAGAATAAAGGCTAAAGGGAGGAGGTATAAAAATTTGGAAGAAAAAGAGAAGGTGTAAGCATTCATTTTGTTGCGGATGGAAATAGACCTATTCTGATAGTATAGATTGGTCCAGTCATGCTGCATAATCATTTCAAATTTATGGTCCTGAATTTGAAGTAAAACTAGTTAACATGGTTGTGTTTGAACACAACAATTTGCCTCTAAGGTATAAACATGAAGTAGAGAAAGAGGGTAAGAAGTCACTAATAGAAAGGTAGGGTCTAAAGATGAAATAAAATGTGTTGTTGACATACCATGGTTACATGAGAAGCAGAAATGGAGAAATCAGTCAAAGAAATAAGAAAAAAAAATTCTGTCATTTGAAAACAGAGGGAAGAAGAAGCATTTGGGAAAGACTGAAGTTGAGAACATAGAATTGGAGGGAATTTGTATCAGACAGTTTTAAACTTAGTAAAGCATGGAGTGTATTATTTATCTAAAGTTTAAGCAGTGGACCAGTGGAAAAGACATGAAAACAAAATAGCTGTAATAGTTATTAATAGCAGCTAATAATTCAGCATAGTAAAATTTTTTTTAAAGATTTTATTTATTTATTTGACAGAGAGAGAAATCACAAGTAGGCAGAGAGGCAGGCAGAGAGAGAAGGGGAAGCAGGCTCGCCGCTGAGCAGAGAGCCCAATGCGGGGCTCAATCCCAGGACCCTGGGATCACGACCTGAGCCCAAGGCAGAGGCTTTAACCCACTGAGCCACCCAGGCACCCCTCAGCATAGTAAAATTTTAATGTATTTATATATTATTATATTTTTAATATATTTAAATATTATTACATATTTAATATATTTATATTTAATATAGTTATAAAATTTAATATATATATCTCTTTTTAAAAGAGATATATTAAATTGCATAACTGAGGCTAGGTGAGGAAAGACTAAGGTTAGATGACAAGGATCATTTTGTTTTGAGAAAAAAGAAGGAAAGGGGTAGAGGGATGAGCCAGTGAAAGGGAATGCAATGAGAAGAGGCGAGCTGGAAATGAACAGAAACGGGAAAGGGAGAAGGGCTGACGGGAAACGTATGCATTAGAGTATCCAATGTGTCAGGTGTGGTACTACAAGACTCCTTGAGTTTTACATTGGAGCTATTAGTGTTCAATAAATATTGCATATCAGCGGTGATGAAGGTTAGGCAGACTCTTCACAAAGGATAGCTATGGGTCCAAAAAAGCCCCAAGTCACAAGACCTGAGACAGTCCTTGCTATCTACATTGTGGTTTATTATACCGAACATTTTCTATCAACTCTGGGCCCTTGTTTCCTCAAACTATAATAAGGGTGTTAGACTTCTAAGATCCCACTCTTTTTTTTTTCCCCCCACAAGCTTACTGGATCTGTTTATTCTTTTTTTTTTTTTTTCAGTGTTCCAAGATTCATTGTTTATGCAACACACCCAGTGCTCCACGCAATACGTGCCCTCCTTAATACCCATCACCACTCACCCATACCGCTCATCCCCCTCCCCTCCAAAACCCTCAGTTTGTTTCCCAGAGTCCACAGTCTCTCTTGGTTTGTCTCCCCCAATCTCCCCCAACTCCCTTCTCCTCTCCTTCTCCCAATGTCCTCCGTGTTTATTCCTTATGCTCCACAAGTAAGTGAAACCATATAATAATTGACTCTCTAAGATCCCACTCTTACCCCACCCCCAGTGGAAAACATTATCAGGAGCTTCTGCTTTGATAACTTGTTCAATATGGTTCTTTTTTTTATTATTCTTGTTTAATACTTATAAAATGCTACACATTTTGTGGGCTTCTTTTGCTGCCACTTACTGGAACTCTGCTTTCCATCAGCTTCCAGCTCAAAGCCAGGGTGGAAGGCACAAATGAAAGAACCCATTGTGTTCCCACAGCTATGGCTGCAGGGAGCCAGCCCTTCAGCAGGCTTATTCATATCTGTAGAAAAAAAGATATACAGCAGCTATGTCTTCAGAGCTCAAATTAAGATTTATCTGTAAACTATAAAAATTATCTGAAGTATTCTCTTTCTTTCAACCCTAGACATCAAGCATAACAGTAAAATACCACATAGGTGCCATATTTGCAAGTAAACTAACTGCTAATGATATCAATTTAAATGTTGGTCTAATGCTCTCAAACGCTTCTATCTATGAGAACCTACTAATATTTATTAATTGGGAGAAAGAAAAGGAAATAACTGAAAAATATACTCTATCTTTCCCCTAATAATACAGGTAGAAGTCATTGTAATTTGTCTTTGGAAATATACATCACATTCTCCTTTCCTTTTAAAGATTTATTTATTTATTTATTATTTATTTATTTATTTGAGAGAAAAGACACATACACACATACATGGAGGGAGGGGTAAAGGGAGAGAATCTTTAAGCAGACTCTCCCTGAGCACAGAGCCCCATGTGGAGCTTCATCTCATGTCCCATGAGATCATCTGAGCTGAAACTAAGAGTTTGACACTGAATCAATTGAGTCCCCCAAGAGCCCCAGTCATATATATCACATTCTTTTTTTTTTTTTTAAGATTTTTTATTTATTTATTTATTTGACAGAGAGAGATCACAAGCAGGCAGAGAGGCAGGCAGAGAGAGAGGAAGGGAAGCAGGCTCCCTGCTGAGCAGAGAGCTCGATGCGGGACTCCATCCCAGGACCCTGAGATCATGACCTGAGCCGAAGGCAGTGGCTTAACCCACTGAGCCACCCAGGCGCCCCATATATATCACATTCTTAACCAAAAATAGTATCTCCCTGCTTTAAGATAAACAGGACATGTGGACAAGGGAGACTTGGGGTCTTCATGTGTAGCAATCCATAGCGTATGCTCTACCTGAATGCCATGGGGGCAGTGCCATTTAAACAAGAATGCCCTCTCTTTCTCCTGACACTGAGAGCCAGTTCCATTCAGTGCAACTTCTTTCTATAACTCAGGTAGGCTCTGCTCCCTCCCTTCATGTTGCTAGGTCTCAACATCATTTTTCCTGACTCATACTTCCTCCTGTACTATCCTGTGTGTCATCTCCACATGTATCTATATATATGTATATATTTGTCAATTTTCCACAAATATTTGGTAAGATCCTATTCTGTGCCAGAGAAGTTAAGCAAATGCTATGTGAACAGAGGACCAAAGTAGAAATGTTCTCTGTCAGAAAAGTATATGAACACAATCAACAGAAAATTGTATCTTAGTTTTGGTTTAAAGAAAAAAAGAAAGAACTAAACAGTAATTTTTAAAAAGATTTTATTTATTTATTTGACAGAGAGAGAGAGTGAGAGAGGGAACACAAGCATGGGGAGTGGGAGTGGGAGAAGCAGGATTCCTACAGAGCAGGGAGCCTGATGTGGGGCTCCATTCCAGGACCCCGGATCATGACCTAGGCCAAAGGCAGACGCTTAACAACGGAGCCACCCAGGTGCCCCTAAACAGTAATTTTTATATCTAATTCTTTTTCAGTTTTTCAAAGTGTTTATCCATCTCATAAGTCAGGAAATATTTTGGTATTTTCATAATTAATCCAAATAAACTGTTTCTCATTTCATGAAAATGTCATGATAAAAATGAAGGATTCTGTGACTTCTCTGAAGTTAATAAAACAAAGAATGTCCCACAGGAATGATTTCAGTTATTAGCTCTGGTTATGGAGTAATTTGTCACTTTCATCTTTGAATTGAAGTATGTCTGTTTTGCTATTTCTAGGAAAAAGAAATATGTAACCTTGTATTTATAGTTTCTTTCTTTTTGGTTTTAATTATTTCTAACTTCTGAGAACACTCATTTGCACATACTTGCATTTCAAAGGTTATCCCCCACCTTCTGTAGGCTATAATAAAAAAAACTCCCTGTGTAGTTATGGAAGATTTTGAATATTAATTCTGGAATTCACTTCATAATGAGAAACAGAAAACAAAAGGCTTTAATTCTGAAATTATACCAGACCATTTTTTTGGTAACTAAAAATTTCACCGAGTTTTCATAGTTTCACAAAAATACCTTTCAGAACAATCAAATAAGATTATAAATGTTCTTTTTAAAGCATAAATGAAAACACTTTTCTCCTAGCTGTTCTGACTATTCAAAACTGAATTACCACAAAATATCAAACAGTTACACAATTAAGCCATCAGTTTCAACCTCCTACCTCCATAGGCCTTTTTGTCGTTAGACAACTGGTACCCTGGGCAACAGACACACCTGGTCACACCATTCTCACTCTGACAGATGTGGGCACATCCATTCCCACCTGTGCAGGGGTCCATCTCTGAAAGCAATTAAACAGTGAAAGTTTATAATTCATTAACTTCAGAAAGATATATAAAGTGGAAAGGTGGAGAAGGTAAAGAGGGAACTGGGACCATGGGGTTTCTCATATAAAGATGGTAAGGACTCCGGAAAGTCTTTTCTCACTTTCAGATGGAACTAATTCCACAAAAAATTTCCCATTTTGTGATTTCAACTCCAAAATCTAAACAAATATAAACATGGATCAGAGCCAAAAGAAGAATTACTTTAATTCACTCTTCTCAAAAGCATGGCTTCTGCCCTCTGATACCCAAAGTTCAACAGAGTCAGCATGAACTCTATATATCATACCCTTTTTCATTTTCTCCTTCTCTCTCAACCCTTTCTACTCCTTTGGGCATCCTAAAAGGCAAAAACCTCCTCTGGGTTACTTTTGCTTTTGGATAAACAACCACAGTGTGAGTAGAAGTCAGGCTGAAGCAACATGGCAGAGTCTTAGCCATAGCTGTCATGGAGATGGAAGACAGGTCAGATCTTCCAGGCTGTAACGAACCTTCTGTAGAACCTACAGTATAATGTTGAATAGAAGTGGCATGAACAGACATCCTTTTCTTCTTCCTGATCTTAGGGGGAAAGCCTTCAGGATTCACTATTAAGTGTAATGTTAGCTGTGTGTTTTTCACAGGTTCCCTTTATCAGCTTGAGGATGTAGTTTTCTATTTCTAGTTTGTTGAGTTCTTTTATCACAAAAAGATGATGGATTTTGTCAAGTGATGTTGTTTTTTTTCCCTGCATCTATTGAGATGATCATGTAGTTTTTGTACTTAATTCTATTGATATGGTATATAGTATTAATTGATTTTCAGATGTTGAACTAACCTTGTTTTCCTGAGATAAATCTTACTGGATCATGGTGTATAATCCTTCTATATGTTGTTGGATTTGGTTTCCTAATATTTTGTTTAGGATTTTTACATCTACATTCATAAAATATGTTTGTCTGTGGTTTTCTTCCCTGTGATATGTTTGTCTGATTGGTATCAGGGTAATTCTGATTTCATGGAATGAATTGGAAAGTGTTCTCTTCTCTTTTATATTTTTGAAGAGTTTTTAAAAAATATGGAATAATTCTTCTAAAATATTTGGTATAATTCACCATTGAAACTATCAGGGCCTGAGCTTTTCTTTTTGGGGAGCTTCAAAATTATTAATTTTATCTCTTTATGTATTATATATCTAACTGGATTTTTTACTTTTTTCAGAATCTAATTGCAGTAGTAATTGTCATTCTAGGAATTTGTTCATTTCATCTAAAGTACGTAATTTGTTGTGATACAGTTGTGTCTACTATTACCTTCTCATTTCTCTTTTTTTTTTTTTTTAATTTTCCTAGGGTCAATAGTGATATTTACTCTTTCACTTTTGATCTTAGTTGTTTGAGTCTTCTCTCTTTTTTCCTTTGCCAATCTAGCCAAAAGTTTGTCAACTATGTTGACCTTTTTTTAAAAACAACTTTTGGTTTTATTAATTTTCTTTCTTGTTTCTCTATCATCTACTCATTAATTTATATACAAATCTTTACCTTCCTTCTTTTTTTTCACTTCCATGTTCCCTTTCTCCTTATGTTACTTCTTACCAGTATGAGCTTTCTAAGAAACTCTTATATTTGAGTAAGACACACTGCAGAATCAGCGTGTCCCCCAACTTCACACAAAATAAAATTTGATAGACATTTTTGGTTTTGTTTTCTTTATTGCATCTGTATGTTTTGTCACAAGTTAAGATACTACGTAGCTACATTAATAACAGAAATTTAATTTATTTAATCTATATCACCCACTACCAACTCTCAGGGCAATGGAATAGATAACTTCTCAGAACTCTGGAAAATGAGGGGTCATTTCCACCAGATACAAAATTACAAAGTAGATCGCAGTGATCTTGGTATGTTCTTCTCATTAACCACTGTCTCTGGGAACCTCTTTTCTAAATGTACTTTAATCATCTATTGCCCTAGTGCCTTCTTGATGCCCAGGTCTCCAAATAAGAAGGTTTACTCCTCCAGAAATTGACTAGATATAACCTCCCTATAGTAAGACTGCTATCAGAGGTCCCTTTTGTTTCAGAGACTGATTGTAAATGTAGTCTTAAACCACTTGAATTAAGCATGGAAGAATTATAAAGTAAAACTTCTATAATGTAGAATTTGATAAAACTTACAACTTTTATTCTCAACTGCAGGACATAGAAGGACATTTAAAAGTAGCATGTGGGACTCAGGTAATATTTCCAGTCAAATTTATGATTTTTTTTTTGTGTAGAGTACCCTTTTATAGTAGCACTTAAATGGGACCTATTCAAATTTGGCTCATGATCATGAAAGAGTAACCATGATTGGGTTTACCTTCTACCATAAACAACTAAAAAACTAGAGTAAAAATACATGAAACAATTGTAGATATTGGACAATAAACAGCACAAGAATGGGAACCCTGAGTGAAGAGAAAAGAAGTAAGCTAAATTATTGTTTTGGGTTTTGCTAGAGACCATTTCTGGGTTACAGCACAGAAATAGAAACCAAAAGAGAGCTCAATGATCCTGCTAAATTAAAGAGACAAATCAGAGCTCATGATTATCAAGGAAATTAGAATTTGTGGAGTGTTAGAAGGGGCAGACAGAAGTGGGGAAGAGAGTGTTATATAGAGAGAAAAAACAAAAACAAAAACACAAAACACTCCAGAAATCTGTACACTGATCCTCTTGAATCTTTGACTAAATATTATTGCATATCTACATAGGGTAAATCTCCATGAGGCCAGGCAAGAACAAAGAAGAATTAAGGAAGCCGTAAGCCAAACAATTCCCAAGCATACAGAGGGCCAGGAATCAGTTCTTAGCAGTCAGAGTGGGGAAATATTGTTTAACATATTGCAGCTTCAGTAAAGATCCCCGAAGGACCATGACTCAATAGTAGAACCAATTTAACCCCAGAGTAAAGTTTATTCTAGATTTACCCTAACATTCAAAACAGCATTTGACAGATCAAACTGATCTGCGAGTAACTTAGCTTGGCATCCAGAAAGAAAGCACAATACTTTTTAAAGGAGAACAAAAGCTAGCATTCAACAATGTAAAATGAATAATGTCCAAAATCCCAAAAAAAGGTTAATAAACATGTGAAAGTATAATCAAATATGACCCATATTCAGGAGAAAATTCATTTAATAAAAACATAAATAATAGAGATGATGAAATCAGCAGATAAGGACATTAAAATAGCACTATAAATAAATTTAATATGCTTCATGATTTAAAGAAAAATATGCATTTAGTGAGGAGAACAATAGAAGGCATAAAAAAACTACCAAAGGGAACTTCTAGAGCAGAGGGATATAAAATCTGAAATGGAAAGTTCACTAAATGGTATTATCAGCAGATTACATAATTAGAAAATTATTGAACTAAAAACTTGGCAGTATAAATTATCCAAAATGAAGAGCAGACAGAAAAAAAAGGACTAAGCAATTTAAATAAAGAAGTTTGGTGACCAGTTGAGCAATATTAAGCAGAGGATAGCAAATAATTCCAATTTTGGAAGGAGATTCTCTAGTCAAAGGATTAGGAAAAAGACAGTTTAACAAGACAGAAAACTTTCAGAAAATGACTGTCATGCTATAGCCAGACACCTCAGAAAAAAAAAATCCCCACCTATGACATCATTGACTGAAGGGAGAACCTAGACTTTCCCCCTCAACAGGCTGTAATTAGGTATTTCTTTTCCCCTTCCCACTGGGGTGACGTCAGAGGAGGCAAATCAGAGAGTCAAGATTTTCACCACAATCTGATAATGAGGCCACCCTATTATGATGTCTATGAAAGCCACGTGGGAAGAGTAAAAAGGCACACCTACACCTCCTGGCCAAGTGGTACCAGTAGAGAGCTAGAGCACAGAGTAAGGAGGCATACAGTTCCTACTTGTAAGTCATTAGAAGTCAGGTGGTGGTACACTTGGACTTCTACTCACAGTGAGCAGTAAAAGTGGTTTTCCTCCACTCTCTTTCCCCTTCCAGAGTAGTGTCAAAGGAAAGCATCTAAATATAAGGTTTATATAAGATCCAGAGTCTGGTAACATAATATGCAAGATTTCCAAGTTTCAGTAGAAAATTACTCATTATACCAAGAACTAAGAAGATCTCAAAAAGATTGAAAAAATGAATCAATAAATGCCAACACCAAGATTTTAGAGATGTTAGAATTATCTAAGATTTTAAACAAGCCAACTAAAATTATTTTAATGAGCAATTACAAACATGCTTGAAACAAATGAAATAATAGAGTCTCAGCAAAGAAATAGAAAATTTGAAGGATAACCTAATAGAAATTTGAGAACTGAAGAAGACAACAACTGAAAACCTCAATAGAGGGGCACCTGGGTGGCTCAGTAGGTTAAGCCTCTGCCTTTGGCTTAGGTCATAGTCGCAGGGTCCTGGGATTGAGCCCCACATTGGGCTCTCTGCTTGGCAGGAGTCTGCTTCCCCCTCTTTCTGCCTGCCTCTCTGTCTACTTGTGATCTCTCTCTCTGTCAAATAAACAAAATCTTTAAAAAAGAGAGAGAGAGAAAGAAAATCTCAATAGATAGGCTAAATATTAGAATGTAGAGGACAGAGAAAAGAATCAGTGAATTGGAAGATAGAGCAATAGAAATTACCCAACTGAACAACAGGAACAATAGACTAGAAAAAAAAATTTTTTTTTGAGAGAAAAGAAAGAAACAAAAAGAATGGAGCCTTACAGACCTACAGAAATATAACAAATGTAAAATATTGTGGCAGTGTTAATATCTTAGAGGCTAAAAGAAATAAGGTGGGACTGAAAATGTGTTCAAAGAGATAAAGCTGAATATTTCCCAAATCTGGCAAAAGATATAAATCTATAGATCGAAGGAACTAAGTAGAGCTCAAGCAAATTAAACTCAAAGAAGTCCACACCAAGACACATTCTGGTCAAACTTCTGAAAAG